GCTAAGACTTGAGGCACTCAACAAATAACATTAGCGGAGGATCACCATATATATATATATATATATATATATATATATATATATATATGTGCGTATAATCAGTGAACAGTAACTGATAAATCGAATTAATCAATAGCAAACAGAAAATTTTCATTCCATATAATTTTGAATTTGATTCTCGAATTAGGGTAAAACCGATAGACAATCACATTTTTTCACCAAAAAACAAATTAAACTGCAAATTAATGAAAAGAAAACAATAAAAGCTGAAGTTTAAGAATGATACATGGGGCAAAGATATATTATACCTAGAAGACAGGAATAGTCAATGGTTGACAGCAGCTGCAGCAGTCAAGGACTTTAGGGTCGGAAAGGGTGGCAGAAATAGGGTCTATGCCGTTAAACTTAGATGTTGCTTCATCATCTTCCATAGGATTCTCTTCTCCAACATCCTCGTCATGATTTTCACTCCCTTGACAATGCACATAGTCTTCCAACTCAATTTCACAACATTTTCCTTCCTCTTCCGGATCTTTCTCTTCCTCTTCCTCCTCAACCGGTTCTTTTTCTTCTTCTTTTTCGACCACATACTCTTCCGGATCTTCTTCTTCTTCTTCTCTTCCTCTCCTCCTCTACCGGTTCTTCTTCTTCTTCTTTTTCTCTACCACATACTCTTCCGAATCTTCTTCTTCTTTCTCTGCCACATACACTACCGGTTCTTCTTCTTCTTCATCTTCCAGCAGAGGCTGTCTGATGTATTCATATTCAATAGTAGTAAACCTACGTCGTTTATGGTTTTGGACTGGATTGCAGCTAGATCTTTTCCTTTTATGGAAACGATTAACCGAACCTTTTCTCCATCTCTCTCTCAGTTTTCTTTGCTGTCTTCAAACCCTATGCTCTCTCTCAATTTATTTACATTAGGATTACCGCTTTATATTCTCTGGTCACGTGCCTTCCCAGATTTAGTTAAACTCTCGATTTTATATCCGAGCGAAAAAATCGAAATTTGCCGCGGAAAATTTGACCCAGTTTGAACAACTGCACTTTTAAGTATAATGAATAATGGCATTTATCTAATTTTCTTTTCTTTTTGTTTTGTTATTTAGTTGAATTTGAAACCCTGATTTCGTTTAGAAATTGTATGTGCGTTTTAGATTTTACTCTTTTTTTATTCAATATCTCTAGATACCGAGGGATTTTGAGATAAATTAGTGTAGCACTTTGTATTTTAAATAGGGAAAACTTCAAAAAAGACTCTATAAGTTTTTTAATTATCACTTATCCCCCTCACAAAAATTTCGAATCATTTACATCTTTATTTCAATTTTTTCATCATTTACCCCCCTGATTTATGTTTTTTTTATCACTTACCCCCTCATTTAGGGGACTTAGGGGGGTTAATGATAAAAAACTTTAAGTCAGGGGGTAAATGATTATTATAACGAAATCAGGGTTTCAAATTCAACTAAATAACAAAACAAAAAGAAAAGAAAATTAGATAAGTGCCATTATTCATTATACTTAAAAGTGCAACTGTTCAAACTGGCTCGAAATTTTCCGCGGCAAATTTCGATTTTTTCTTGTAGTGACTTGGCGTATAAGGATTTAAAGATTTAACAAATCATAACGGCTAGGATATAAAATCGAGAGTTTAACTAAATCTGAGAAGGCACGTGACCAGAGAATATAAAGCGGTAATCCTAATGTAAATAAATTGAGAGAGAGCATAGGGTTTGAAGACAACAAAGAAAATTGAGAGAGAGATGGAGAAAGGTTCGGTTAATCGTTTCCATAAAAGGAAAAGATCTAGCAGCAATCCAGTCCAAAACCATAAACGACGCAGGATTACTACTATTGAATATGAATACATCAGACAGCCTCTGCTGGAAGATGAAGAAGAAGAACCGGTAGAGTATGTAGCAGAGAAAGAAGAAGAAGATTCGGAATAGTATGTGGTAGAGAAAAAAGAAGAAGAAGAACCGGTAGAGGAGGAAGAGAAAGAAGAAGAAGATCCGGAAGAAGAAGAATATCCGGAAGAGGAAGAAGAAGAAGAAGATCTGGAAGAGTATGTGGTCGAAAAAGAGGAAGAAAAAGAACAGGTTGAGGAGGAAGAGGAAGAGAAAGATCCGGAAGAGGAAGGAAAATGTTGTGAAATTGAGTTAGAAGACTATGTGCATTGCCAAGGGAGTGCAAATCATGACGAGGATGTTGGAGAAGAGAATCCTATGGAAGATAATGAAGCAACATCTAAGTTTAACGGCATAGACCCTATTTCTGCCACCCTTTCCGACCTTAAAGTCCTTGATTGCTGCAGCTGCTGTCAACCATTGACTATTCCTGTCTTCCAGGTATAATATATCTTTTCCCCATGTATAATTCTTAAACTTCAGCTTTTACTGTTTTCTTTTCATTAATTTGCAGTTTAATTTGTTTTTTGGTGAAAAAATGTGATTGTCTATCGGTTTTACCCTAATTCGAGAATCAAATTAAGAATTATATGGAATGAAAATTTTCTATTTGCTATTGATTAATTTGATTTATCATTTACTGTTCACTGATTATACGCATATATATATGGTGATCCTCCGCTAATGTTATTTGTTGAGTGCCTCAAGTCTTAGCAGTTTATAATTTTTAGTCTTTGCACCATCTTTTCTGTATACTTGCATGGAAAGGTAAGGGTATTTCTTTGAAATTACTATTAAAAGTGCTCCTCACTACATCATAAGTTAACTTATGATAAAAAACAAATATACATATACTAATGTATCACATATTCATTCATATTTATCTAAATAAATAGTTAATTACTCGAAATATAACAGTTTATATTATTTAGCTCTTTTACAAAGTTGAATTAGGTAGAGTCTCATATCCAATATATCATGTCCGTTGTTAACAGGAGACCAAAAAAAGCTTTATGTGATATGGACTTTAATTTATGTGAGCTTATTGCTAGAAAATTTTGATTAAGTAAGCTGTTTTTTTCATTACTGTATTAAGTATCATTCTGATACATCACTAGGAATTGAACTTAATCTTAGATTCTTAGTCAAACAAGCTGTTGTGCATGCTTTTAATCCTGGTATGAGAAGTTTTTGTTGTGGTACTTGTGGTTCTTTTTGTTTGTGTTTCTTTTATTTGTTATCTGGCTTGTTAGTTGAGTATAATTTGAACTTTTTACTACAATTTGCAAGCCTTTCTAATGCATTTGTTTATTTTTGTTCGTTATAAGGTACCATATAATGCAGAATCTAATTTAATAACTTTATTTGTGATTTTTGTAGCAATACAGTGCGAGAAAGGGCATTTTGCTTGCTTTACCTGTTGTGCTCTTGGAAGGGAGTGTCTTGAGTGCTCATCTCGCATTCCTTACAACCGTTGCAGAGCTATTGAGAAAGTGTTGGAATCTATTAACATATCATGCCTTAATGCAAAATATGGTTGCAAAGAGACATTCAGTTACAGTGAAAGGAATAACCATGAGAAGAAATGTATCCACATTCCATGTTTCTGCCCACACAAAGGTTGTGATTTTGTTGCCTCATCAAAGTTGTTATCACTCCACTTCAACAATAAACATAAAACTTCTGGAATCCAATTTTTATACAATCACACTTTCCATGTATCCGTGAATCCTTATGATGAATTCCTTGTTCTTCAAGAGCAAACATATGGAAATATGTTTATTCTCAAAAACAATGTTGTTGAGAATATGGCAAATGTGGTCACTATTAGCTGCATGGGGCCTAACTCTTCTCAGCCAGGGTATGCTTATGTTATAGTCGCCAAGTCTCAGGGATGCTGTCTAATGTTGAAGTCTTTTACCAAGAACATTCAAAGGGGCATTGCAGATATTCCTTCATCAGGGTTCCTTGTGATTCCATTTGACCGTTCTGATAATTATGCATCTCTCCATCTGGAGATTTGCATAAGAAAAAGAAAGAATGCTTCACACATTGCAGAGTGGGAAGGTCCTTAGCTCTTTGTGGGTTCATTTCTAGATATAGAAATTAGTCTTTGATCGGTTTCTTTATGTAATTTTTGTCTTAGAGTGAGATGAATCATATTCCTTATGCAAAACAAATGTGTTGTATATACATATGTAGACAATCAACCTTGACTTTTTTAAAGAAAGATGTTATTAGTACCTAGTTAACCAGAAAGTACGTGCATGAATACATATGTTTGGTGTTTTAGTATTTTAATCTTTAATTATTTATGAGGAAACTTGTTTAGTCAAACTTGTCGCGCTTTTTTAAGTGGAATACATTTATATGTTTCCAGCCATCATCCCCTTTTTATTTTTGTCTTTCCACATGCACACTTCACCTCCTAGACACTTGAGTAGAAAATCACCTCTCTCCCAAAATCCTTCTTTTGATTGGAGCTTCCACCCATTCATAGCAACATCATATCCTTGTGCTTTGGTACCAGATTGCATGCATTATCAACTGTCCAGAAGCTTGGAAGGGGCCCAGTGAGAGATTTAATTAAGCTACTAACTGATTCCATCAAAGACTAAGTAAGACTGAGATCAACCAAAACCTTTGTTTTAGAATTTGTTCATCACTTGTAAGTGTAAAGGAAGACTTCCATATTATGTTCCCTGAAAAATTCGATTCCAAGGCATGCAAGGGCCAAGGGGTGGAGATTTTGTTCTTTTAGCTAATATTTGGTGTCAGGAATAACTTCATTGGCTGGGAATGGGTTTATGGGAGGGATTGACTAAATTAAGAACCAAAAAATATGATTTTTAAACCCAATCATGAATTCTTGAATGTAAAACAAATCTAGAAATTTCTTTTCATATGCTGCACACTTACCGAGTTATACACTTTGTCACAATATTTAGCAAAACATATAATTATTGAGGCTGAGGTGAAAGCATGCCTACTTTTACTATATTAACTATATGTACATATTTTTACCGAGTGGTAACGAATTGTTATGTCGTGTTTTATTTTAGTCTTGGAGAATTAAAATATGTATATACTTTTGAAAAACTTTTGGTGGCCATTATAATTAGTCACTTCAAATATTTAAATCCGTCAACTAAACTCAAATTATGAAGAAACAAAAAATGCTATGTACATTAATAATCACATGTTCCCATCAGATTATTTGTCGAAGTTTAAGAATTTTGTAATTACTTGCTATCATTTTAAAACTTTTGAGTATGTGTAGACCTTTTTTTATAAGAAAAAATAAATTTGGTCATTATTCAATGTAAAACAGTATACAATATGAATAGAACATTTTAACAAGTTTTTATGTGATACCCACCAATATAGAAGATTTTCTTCGGAATTTGACTAGAGAGACAAACACATAAAGCAACTAAACTAAAAAACAAGTAAACTTCTCCAAACCATTTAAGCCCATACAAAAAGGTTTGGTTAAGATACGTGAGATTCCAAACAAATGAAAGCTAACCGCACAAAAAAAAAGAAGCTAACCGCACATGCTCTGCAAAATTATTCTAAACCATCCACAATAGCAATCCACCATTCTCCTCCAAAAGGTTATTTTAGTTGTACTAAGGCTCAAAGTCTCGTTGCCCAAGCTATGAATTCAAGTAAAATAACAAATTATGTGAAGCAAAGAGCATCCTAATTTCTATATAATAGAAAATGAATTGTTTGTGTGTTCAGATTAAAACTTTTTTCCTCATAAGAGTGTAATATCTCAATATAACAGTGGCAATGATATAGAACAAAGTGTTGAGTATGATTCATACTTTGCATTCAAATGATAACTCTTGTTTGCAGGAAGACTCTTGATGTCGGTCTCGGGCTTATTTTATTTTATTTTTCTTTTTTAGTAATTTGGATTTGAGTTCATGAATAGCTAATGTTACTTAGAGTTTTCTAAACCTATTTATATTTCCCAAACTGAATGACTTGTAACGGGTGTGATGAGAAAAATATAGTAAATATTTCTAGACATAACTCACATCGGATGAACCAGGATAAATTTTGTATCTTCGTTCTCTTCCCTTTCCCTCTTTTACTTTGTGATTGTTTGTGTATTTGTGTTCGATCCCAACACAAAGCTCTATGGAGAGTCATCATGAATATAATCTCAGACGAATGCTAGTGAGATTTCTACAAAGTAACAGCTCTTTTACAAAGTGTAGAAAACACATCGTCACTGGCCAAAGAAAAGGTATTTATAGGTGGGGGAGATTCTCCAATTATGAGTGAAAATATGAATCATAACTATTTTATCCTAGTGAGCCTCATTTTACGTGAGGTATGAGCACGAAAGTGAAATCCTCTCCCATAAGAGTGTAAGAATCTCATTTTAAAATGCAGAAAAATGACCCTTTAAATAAGTTTTGGCCCATCCAATGGACCAGTGTGGCCAATCCAAAAAAAAAATGCCAAATAAGAATTCAAAGTGATTCTAATTCTGTCACTATTTCTATCACATTGTTTAAGGGATGTTGAATGACACAATTTTGTCCAATGTACACTCAAAAAAATAAGAAGAGAGAGAAATAAAATAAATAAATCGTATCCATTTTTTTGTGTATACATGATACAATCTAACACAATGCAATATGAGAAATATATTCTCCTTATTTCAATCAATGATTTACCATAACATTCCTATAGTTTGGAACCGAAACTCTAGCACTAGAGAGCAACACTAGGAAACGAAAAACCCCAAACTAATCATCCTGAGTCAGCCTTCCACAATCTAAAGGAAGACGGTGTAGATAGGTGCAAAAAGCATTGTAGGACTAGAGAATATGAATTATGACGTGCATTTCCATTGGAGACATTGCTTTTACTTTTGGTTTATGGTTAGTTGGAAATGGGAGATTGAAAATAAGAGGCATTTCGACATACAACCCCAAAAGAAAGAATAAAGTAAAAAAACCAACAACAATGACAGATGACTAGAGAAAAGAAATGCCCAAATAAATACCCTTCCTAGGCTACAACCTACTTTTCCAAGAGATTCACAGAAAAGCTAGTCCTTAGTTAAGGACACAGCACAACGTCAAGCCTTACAAGGTCACCACCATGTGTGATCATCTCATCAGCCATTTTGCCAAACAATAGAAAACTGGTGTGGTGATGATTGTTAAAGTAAACTAAGTAATTCAAATCAGATACAGCTACTACAATTGCTCAGTTCTTGAACAATGGCTTCCATGGTTGGCCTCTCAAAAGGAGACTCATGGGAGCAAAGTAAAGCCATTCTTGCAAGTTTAGCTGCCTCGTATTCGACAACTCTGCCATGGAGATTTGGATCAATAAGTTCTTGAATTCTTAAGGATTCTGCAGCAAGGCGCATTGAGTTAGTGACCTTATGCTTCCCTGTGAGGATCTGGAAAAGAAGTACCCCAAAAGCATAAACATCACTTTTCTCAGTGAACCGGCCGGTAGTGGTGTATTCTGGAGCCAGGTAACCCTTTGCTGCACTACCCTTTAGTGCAGAGAAGACAATATCATTCGTGAGAAGCTTGTACAGGCCAGAATCTGAAAGCAATGGGTTGTACCACTGATCAATGAGCACTTTCTCAGCTGAGATGTTTTGGTGAACAAGGACTAGTTTGTTTGCCTTGTATGCATGTAAATATGCAATACCTGATTAAGATAACAAAGGTTCAGTATATAAACATGAAGAGAAATGATATATAATATTTAGTATAGCATATAATATATAATATGTAATGATGTTGACATCTCTTGAAGCATCTATAAGTAGTAGTGAGAAACGAAATGCTCAATTATTTACCAATCACTTCCTTTTTCTTAGCATGCTGATGGTTTATATCTTAGAATATCTCAAAAACTGCTGAAGTCTCAAATTATTGGAAAGTAAGTTATTTTAATAAATGGCAGGATAGAAGAGTAACCTTTAGCAATCCCTTTTACAATAGAAACTCTTGTTGACCATTCAAGGACTTCTCCATCACCTTCCTTCACATCAAGGTGGCGCGATAGATTTCCATTGGAAACAAAGTCATAAATCAGGAAGCATTCACCTCGTCCCCTTGAACAGCAAAATCCTCTCAACCTCACTAAATTATCGTTCCTCAGTGAGGTTAAAATGTTCAATCCCTTCAGAAATTCAGCTTCATCCGATTTGCAACTAGTTTTACTGATGCTCTTAACAGCAACAACAGACCCGTCTCTTAAAACTCCTTTATATGTTGCACTAAAGTTACTCTTACCCAACAAATTCAACTCTGAGAAATACTGAGTTGCTGACTCCACTTCTTCCAAGTTGAACCTGAAACTCTGGAACACATCTTGTCTATCCCCATTGAAATTCCTACTATCAGCCAAAGGGTCCCATCCATTAGAGTACTCAAGACTGGCCAAAGGAGATCCATTTTTCCTGTATATGCCCTTGGCTTGATCAGTACTCAGACGGCTTTCAGAGATATCAAAAGCATTTCCAAGCCTTTGTTTCCGTCGACGATACATGATGAAGGTTAGAATACCAATTGCTGACAATACGGTTGTAACCAGAACTATGCCAACTGTAATAGATGTTGCTTGTCTGGATTTTGATGAATTCTGGCACTGAGTTGCATTGCAAAGCAACCTCACATTTGCAGTTTCTGGGATATTTCTTGTCAGACCAGTAACTCCGGCTCCATAAGGATCAGGTCTGGTGGTATTGAATTGAGCTGAAGCATTGCAAGCTTTCAAGGATGAAAACCCAACTCCACATAACCCCAAGTTGTATTCATACACAAATCCATCATCTAGTCTCTTCAAAGCTTCATTAAATCAAGGAAAGCAAACAAACTTATTTAGATTGATCATTTCCGATGAATAAAACATATTAATGAAGAAAAGGAGAGAAGCAATAAAATAAAATCTAAGCAGTCGCATCATTATTACCAGGAGGTACATTCCCAGAGAGAGTATTGTTGTGAACATCTAGCACTTGCAGTGAAGGAACATCAGCTAGTTTAGTGGGAATGGAACCAAAGAGATGATTAGAGCTCAAGTCTAGCCTCATCAACATTCCCAAATCACCTAGACTAGCAGGGATAGCTCCAGTTAATTGGTTTGACTGCAGAGCAAGAACACTAAGCTTTTTCAAATCACCAACCTGTGTGGGTATGCTTCCTGTTAACTGATTATAACAAAGCTGCAAAACTACAAAGCAAGTAAAAGGCCAAAATAAGCACACACTCGAATTTGAACCACTAATGAAACATTATTTCTACGCAAAGCTAAAGAAAACAGTAGGAAAAATCAAATCTTGGGTTGCAACTTCAATTCTAAGGAACAAATACTAAATGGAAAGAAGGTTAGTAACAGTCAAATTGAATTAAAAGTGATTGTTGTCAACAGTAATATGTTTAAATTTTTATGGACGATTGTAAATTGTATGATATTGTAGCCTTCATGAAATAAAATCTTCATTTGTCCAGAGAAAAAATAAAGAATTTTGTTTTGTAAAAAAACAATCGTTAAATAGAGTTTAGAAAGGGGACAAGAGATTAATATTTCTGGTACCACTTCATTCCCAGTTCACACCTACCTCTCGCAATTAAAGCAGAAGATATGAGGGTGTTCAAAATCGCATTTATAGTTGCATAAAATGTTTTATAAAGAAGATTTCCCTAATAAAACATGTTCATAACCTTGGAGTGCAAAAGTATTTAATGCCATAATTTCTTTTTCCTTCTTGTAAAATAACTATTTTGGAATATTGCAATGCAAGAGAACCCACCATTACAGAAGGAAAAAAAAAGTAATAGAAAGTCAATCACAGGAAATGAAACTTTAATGGTACAGAAAATAAACAAAACCAAGCTCAAATCTTCCACAGAAACCCTTAACCAAACAACATTGAAATGTACACAAAACAGAAACAAGCCTTCAAAAAGGGACCACTTGAAGCAGAACCAAGATGAAGAACACAAAAAGTTCCAATCTTTTCAATAAAAAACAGAACCATTTTACCTTGAAGGTTCTCCATGTTGCCAATCTCAGGAGGGATTTCACCAGACAAATGATTCACATTCAAGTACAAATCACTAAGCTGAGTCAAGTTAGCAACTTCACTTGGTATCTCTCCATACAAAGAGTTGTAATGCAAGTAGAGTCCTGTCAAATGCTTAAGCCCAGCAATGGCTGGTGATAGCTTCCCAGAGAGGCCTTTTCCCTGCAAAGAAACATTTGCAACCTGACCCTTTTCATTGCAAGCCACTCCTTCAAAGGAACCACCACATGGGTTGCCATTCATAGTCCATGAGGACAGAAAATGGCCTTCTGGATCCATAGTGGCTTTCAAGTCCATGAGTGATCTAAGCTCAGCATTCCCACATACACATGCTGGGTTCAAGAGCAAAACCAGGAGAGACAAGATAAGAAGTAGTAGCACTGAACAACCCATGTTCAGTTCGTGGATTAAACTGGTTGCGGATTCAACTTCAGTTATTGTTTGAACTTATTAACTTCTTGTTCATGAGAGAGTTGGTACTTGGTGGAGGAAGTGACAAAAAGTTGCACACAGAATGGACAGGTCAGAAACTAAAGAGGGGACAAAAAAAAATAATACTTATAATACTAATAATCATAAAGAAAGAGAGTGAAAACTGGGAACAACATTTACCTGAAGTTGTGTGTGTGTGTGTGTGTATATATATATATATATATATATATATATATATATATATATATATAAGGTAAGATATTCATACTATTAAATTTTTCTACTACCACTCTTGTTACTATTGGATTCAAAAGTTATTTTTCTTTTTTCTCTCTTTTATCAACTTTTCCTCTAATCTAATGGTGATTAGAGTAGTAGTAAAATAATAGTAGAAAAATTAGTACTATGAATATCCTACCTCTATATTAATATTTATGAATTTTTGATAAAGTCTTGATGGGGCAGGGTCAATTTAGATTACCGTAAAACTAAGAAATTTTACATCAAAAGTTAGTCATAGATGTTGTTGTATTTAATAACTCTCGTATTTAATAAATTAAAATATTAGATATAAATAAATAATTTAAATCGAGTGGTATAAAATAAGGGAAAAATATTTATCTTTTTAAATGACACAACTTATATCGTTTCACTCTGACAAAGAGGTGGGACCCACACTTTTATTTTTTTTGTCAACTCTCTCTCCTTTATCTATCTTTTTCTCTCTCTTAAAATGACACAACTTTACATCCTTTAAAATGACACATACTTTACCCGTAAAATAATCATTGCTAATTCCAAGGAGTGGTATAATTGTTAAGTATGTTGTGCCGAAAGAACGAATTACTAAACCTCAAAAATTTCTAGTTTGATTTCTAGCTAAATTAATTTAGAGAGTGTTTGGTAAAAAGAAAAATTTTAAAATTATGAGAATTTGAGATTGAAAATTTGATTTATTCATATTTGATACGAGGATTTTAAAAATTTTCTCGAAAAAGTCGAATTTCAGAAATTTATGTTTATGAAGAAAAATTTCATCTTGTATTAGGTGATATTTTAAAAATCTCATGCTATGAGAATATTTGACAACTTTTTTGGACATAATTAATCTTATATTTTCGAGAATATTTTAGTCTATCAAATACTTTTTTCGTAATATTTTCAGTCAACTCATTTTCTCACCATATTCTTAAGAATCATAATTTTCGAGTAAAAAAAAAAAATTCTCAACCAAACGCTACCTTAAGAAAAAATAGTAAAAATATTCACTCTCTATGTCACGAAAGAGATTAATCACATCTAAGTGGATGGAATACTCTTGACAAAATAAAATAATCATATGGTTTAATTTTTTTATATTGTAGAAAATAAATTTATTTCTTATACACGTAAAAATATATAAAGTTAATATTTTTTTTTCTCTCTTTTTGTATGATCTTATACCATTTAGTATATTTTTGGACATCTTCACGGAAAGTAATTTTATTCGAGGCAAATTCAGGATTAAAACTTTAAAGTTTTTTAAAAAATAATATAAAAAAATCAAATATATCTTCTCACGCTTACCAGCACGGCCCTCGTTCGTCAAATGAGCTGGTTAAAATTAAAACCATTTATAATCTACTAAACAAAAATTTGAGAATCTATTGTCATGAAAAGTAGTGTTCATGCTGCAGTGCATGCAACTTCTGATGAAGTGTTGACCGTTTGATTGGTTAATGGATGCACTTTCTGAACAAATGTTCGCATTCTCAAAGTATTTTGGGATGGAAGACATGTATGCTCGCTATTGTTCTGTACACTTCACCTTCATTCTTTAGGAGTGAACTGCAAAAGTAAGATATTTGTTTTATGAGTGCTGCAAAAGTAAGATTATGTGTGCCATGCCGGGGACGGTATGGCAGTATTATGATAACAAAATTCAATAGAGTTTGCTCCACTATCCAAGACAAGACAGTGATAATTATTGTTTCAAAGTTATTGAATTGTCATAAATTTCATTTTTTATAACATTATATAAATTTAGAGAAATATTAACCTCATGTCACATGAGACAACAAGTCTCTCTTACATACTCAAAAAGATATGGGTCTTATTTTAATTTTTTTTTTCACTTTTTTCGTGCAATGAGACTCACGTAAAATTGTGAGTGCAACATAAGATAAATATCTCCTATTGCATAAGAAAATATAATCTCATAAATTTAATTTTTAATAATATAAAAAATTTATGGATATGATCAAGTTCATCCATTTGTCTGAAAAAATAAAATCATTTTGTTTGGATGTTTTCTACGATAAGAAAAAATTCTACTAGGAAATTATATCTTAAAGCTTCCACTCTTTCATAGTTTCGTAGGTTGATTGGAGATTAATTTGAAATATTCAAAGTAATTTTGTTAAATATTTCATTTTCCTATGAAAGTTTAAATTTTTAAAAGTTTGGTCTAAAATATTTTATCTAAAATTCATAATACCTAAAAAACAATAGTTTAAAATTCATTGATGTAACTGTAAGTTCTCTATTTAGTACCAAGATCTAATATCATGGCAAAGAAAATAATCATTTCGAAGTTATCATTGCCATATTTATCATTATTTGTTGGGTAAAACGAATAAATCATGTCATTAATTTAACTATGGTATCAATACATTATTAACCTGATTATGACTCGATTAATGATTAGGCCACCGATTTATTTTGGACGAAATATACAAATCTTCAAAATACGAAACGAAAACTTAGTATAATATATAATATGTATTTTGAAATAAATTATTATTTCAACTCAAAATTCAACAACAAAAAAAATACATGCATGTGAGATTAATTTTCAAAGTACTTTTTTTTTTTTAGTCAACGAAATGTAGAAAAATTTGAATGATGAAATCAACGGAGGAAATTAATTTGTCTGACATTTTGGGTCCCACTGCTGATATTTGAGCACGTCTGCCACGTGGGTCCTCAGAGCATACACCACACGCTCCATCTGGCGCGTGAAAAATCCTTCTTGGTAGTGGGCACAGATTCCCTCGTGTTACCAACTTTCAAATTCAAACTCGGCCACAATCATGTGCTCTACGGTCCATCGTAAGCAAAAATGTATCTTCCACTTTATTCGTTCAATTTTCAAATTAGTCAAGAGAATATAAAAACACGAAAATAATCTTCACAATTACTTTTACGTAATATTTTAAGATAGTGTTTATATTTTTTAAGGATATAAAATCATATTATTTTCGTTAAAATTATAATGTTTTATAGTGAGAGAAAAGATTATATAATAAAAATCATGATATAAGAAAGTAGGATTTTTTTTAAATTTAAATATTAAATAAAAATTTATTTTAACTAAAATGACTATCCTTATAAAGGATAAATATTTTTCTCATATTTTAATAGGATTTGGTGTTTGTTCTTTTAAAAAACATAAAGAATCTCATTTTAAATGAGAAAAAAAATATAAATTATGGGGGCGGAGAATTTTTTTTTAATTTAAATTTTAAATAAAAAATATTAATTTTAACTAAAATAATTATCTTAAACTTTTCATATACCAAAAAAAAATGATCATAAAAGACAAACATTCTTTCCATTTTAATATTATATAAACAATATGGTATTTTAATTAAGTAAATTTTTTGAAGAATAAATGAATTTCATTTAACGAATTAAAAAAAATCGAGAATCAATAAGAATAGTTTATTCCGAAGCCAATAATACGCTGAAAAGGTCCGTTTTTGCAATGTACTTTTTTCTGTTTTTCTGAGTCTCCGTGTTTATGCTATTGTAGGCCGTGTTTGGTAAAAGATTTATTTTGAGATTGATGGGAAAGTGTAAGTAGATATTAGAAAATATCATGTTTGTTTTAGGTTTTTGAAAAAAATACTAGGTAAATATGATAGATGGGGAAATGACTTTTGTGTTGATTTTTGGATGAAATTCACTGTTACACAATACCACTTGAGATGTGGTATTTTGAGATAACTGGGGAAGTGAAAAATAAGTGTGAAGTTTTTCCCGAACATAGATTTTGTAAATTTAAATAAATTTTTCTGGTAACATTTCGGTTAACCAAACAACTTTTTTTACATTTTCCTACCAAACTCACTTTTCAACCATTTCCCTAGTAATTATATTTCTCTAGTATTCAAAAAATTTCTTCTCAACCAAAACGCCTTGTTGACACTTGGTTCTTGTTCATTTGTTTTAGGGGCAGAATATATTTATAAATTTTCTTATTTACAGACTATTACAAACTACATTATTTTTTTTTGGAAGAATACTAGTTACACTATCTTCTTCCAAAAGAACATAATACAATTTGTAAAAATTTGTACACGAATCTTTTCCTTTTGTTTTATTATAAAGTTAAATATTGCCTAATTGTATTGTTTAAATATAACTTTCTATTAGTTAGCACTATCCATCATGTTCTCCGAAATATTTAATTATTAGGAAGATTCCTTCATTTAAATCATTTACATTGTTTCTATAGCATCCAAAGTTAGTATAAACTAAAATATCCATGGACTTTTTTTTTCCTTTGGCCAATCAGCTACGTAGTCTTAAAATAATTGAACACATGCTACTTATTATTTTAAAACTGAGAATCATTTCAACTATTAAATAGTACATGCAGAACAAAATTAAAATAAATAAATAATATTTATTATGTTACAAAAGATACAATTATCTTATACACACATAAAAATATGTAGAATTCATATAAGATCATATAAGAAAAAAAATATGAATACCATACGCAATTTTATGTGTGTTAAATAAAAAAAAATATGACAAATATGGAACACATTGTTTGTAGAAGTAACTATCAAATTGGTTCAAATAATTAATTTGAAAGATAGCACATAAAAAAATTAATATTTCTTATGTTATATGAGATAATTTTATCTCCTACACACATATAAAAGTGTGGAAGGTCCATATGAAAAGAAGAGAAAGAAAGAAAAAATAGACCTCACATATTT